GGGGGGGGGGAGAGGAGAGTTGGGTCATACACATCCAGGGAAGACTGGGGTGGGGGGAGTCGGTCCAACGGTGTCCAAGTTGAAGAGACAGCAGTGCCAGGGTCTCAGAGCTCACGCCAGTGACAGCACTGCAGAGGGAGACGATAAAGGGGTAAAAAAAAGAAAAAGTCAAGATTTCACGAGCAGCCCATCCAATGAGCCACCACCTCCTCGAACCATTTTGTCCTGCAGACAGGGATTTCCCCTTGCACACAAATAAAGAATCCCTGCGCGCATCACCGCTCAAGCATAACCTAAGCCTCCGAAGAAAGTTCAACTCCAGACCACCAATGAAGAGGAGGAGAAGAGATTGGATTTATACCCCGCCCTTCACTCAGAGCGGTTTACAAACTCCTTTCCCTTCCCCTCCCCACAACAGACACCCTGTTGTGGGGCTGAGAGAGCTCTTTCCAGAACTGCCCTTGAGAGAACAGCTCTTGTCAGAACTACGGCTTGCCCAAGGTCATCCAGCAGCTGTGAGTGGAGGAGTGGGGAATCAAACCCGGTTCTCCCAGATTAGAATCCGCACACTTAACCACGACACCAAACTGGCTCCGTAAAGCTGGTGGCCATCGAAGGGTACCAAACAAGGCTGTCTTTTTGCTGTGATACACCAACAAGGATACCCCGCCGGAAACTGGAAACAGACAGGCCCGGAGTTCAGACAGTCATGAGAACAGAGGGCTGGTTTAGTCTTGCGTGCTCGTCTGTAGGTGGCCACGGTAGGTGGCTTGCGTGCACAAATGAGTCATCGCCAAGACTGAACAGCGAGAACTCCCCGACCGTCTCAAACAGAAGCTATTTCGGTGGAGCGTGTTCAGACCTTGTGCTGCGAGATCATCACATTATGTACCAGTGTCTATAAGCCGGGCTCGACAAGTGGCTTTGAACGCTAGAGCAGGGGGGTGGGCAACCTTTCCCGAATTGAAGCGTCAAACACTGTCGAAACTCGGAGCGAGAGATCGACAAGGAGCTGGCGCCAAAAGGCCCGTTTGCATAACTGAAACATATACCCATTCGATATTACCGATAGTCCGGCAAATGGATTCATCTATCCAGTTCCTGCAGCCCAAACACTGATTGCTGCGAGTCTGTTATTAGGAAGTAGCGCACATGAGATACCCCCAATATACAAAAGAGGAACCAGAATCATTTTTTAAAAATGAACTGGCATCAATCAACATGGATTAGCGGTACCTGTTCCCTTCTACCATTCCCCTTCCTAAAAGCAACACTAGGCAACCTTTAACTCAGAGGTGTCGAACTAATTTGTTACAAGGGCCGGGCCATGTGTGCCATAAATTGTAATGCCAGGTACTGGAGATATAAACTGTATAAAGGACAGCAGCTGGTAAGCTCCAAGTTGGTGTATCCTCACTGCAAGGTTTCACGGGCTGGGAGGGGTGTGTGCAAAGGAAAACCCATATGGGTGGACTGGAGAGCCAGTGGTGCAGCGCTGGGCAGACGCTCCCACGCTGCTTGACTGCTGCGGACGAGGTTGTTCTGCCATGCTGAAGTCAGAGTGGCTCCGCCCACTCCGCCCTGAGCAGTCTCCTGCTCCCTTCCTTACACAAGTTGCTTGCAGGCCGCATAAAAGCCCTAGACGGGCCGGTTCCGGCCCCCGGGCCTTAAGTTTGACACCCCTGCTTTAACTCCCAGGAATATACGTTGCTGCCATTCTTCACATACCAGTTCTTCGAGCGTCCTACCCACCCCTCCAGTGCACCTTAAAGATGTCATTTTCTTTTCCTTCTTTTTTTAAAAGACCCACAGGTCGCTGACCCTCGGGTTTGAACAATCCGTAGACCAGACTGACCAGGATAGGAACCTGCCAGCCACCCCCCCTCAACCCCCCAAGCCAGGGCTCCTAGGTCCGGAGACAACCCTACCTGCCTGCAGATACGTTTATTATAATACACAGCCTCTCCAGTACCAGCACTGACGGCAGAAGCTTCCCCCCTTAGGACCTGGCTTCTCCTTTCACCGAGCTCTCTTGGGAAGCCTTCGGCGAACACTCGGCTGCTCTCACAGCTTCTTCCCCTCGGGCGGTCTGTGCCAACCAAAGCCAGGTAAAGAGGGAAGGAGGGACAGACCAGGCTCTGGAGAATCCACCAGGCTGAATGCAAGGAAGGAAACCCGTTCCCCAACTCACCAGAAAGCGCCTCCTGGGCAAAGTACTTGACGTCCACATCGGGGTCCTGTGTTAGTTTCTCCAGCACTGGCTTCACTTCGTTCTGAAGGGTGCTGCGGGGGGGAGGGGGGGGAGAGGCGAGGGATGAGCAGGAGAAGGCACGGCCGGGCTTTCCACAGTTCCTCCCCAAAGGCTTTCAAGTGCCGCCCCCTGCCTTCCCCTCCTAGCGACTGCATCCCATCACCCAAAACAGACTCAGGGCTGCTGCTGGCTCAGCCGAATCCAGCCAATCCCCCGCTACCTGTTGTCCAAGATTGGTCCTATCTTCTGCAGGGACTTGGCCACGTTGAAGCGGACGTTGGCCACGGCGTCGCCCGCCATCCGCAACACGGTGGGAAGCATGTGCTTGGTGGTGATCTCCTGCCCGCACACTTCCGACAGCACCTGGCGGGGAAAGGGGACCGTGGGACACGTTACGATCGGGAGACGGGTGTGTGTGTGTGGGCGTGCGTGTCTCCGCTGACTCTCAAAACCTTCCTCCGACACGATTTGTCCCACCTGCCCTTGCGACGCAGGGCCTGTCCTGGAGTTGCCAGGGAGCCATCAGAAAAGCCCCCGGGGGGTTAAGGTCTCCAGTAAGGTGCCTCCGAGATGCCTCAACAAGTTAACAGGGAGGGTACAGGCAAGCGTTCCGTGCGCCTTGGTGTTTAGTCATGCCGGCCACATGACCACGGAAACGTCTTTGGACAGCGCCGGCTCTTCGGCTTTGAAACGGAGATGAGCACCGCAACCCTAGAGTCGGACTCGACTGGCTTTCGAGCAAGGGAACCTTTCCCTTTACTTTACAGGCAAGCCTCCCCCAGAAGACTCGGGGAACCACCACTGAGGAAAGGGAGCCGGGAGTGGCGACGTGTGAATTCTCTGTCCCCTGGAAGGTCTTAGAAATCCAAACGCAGAGCGGCTCGTCTGGCAGGCTGAGTCACTCGGGGCTATCTAGGAAAGATGAAACCTGCCTCCTGAACAGGACTTTCCAGTGTGAGAGAGCATGCTTTGGAAGATGGGGCTTTTCACTGCAGGAGGCTCTCCCGGTAACTCAGCATAGCTGCAGGGCCTCCCCAAACATTCCCTCCCTCTCCCTGCACCCCATTTCTCAAGTGGTCTAGATCAAGATGGGGTCGCCATGTTAAGTTTGTGCATATCGGGAGCATCACAGTGTGGGATCCTATGACCTTTTGGTTGTAATGGCCAAAAGACAGCAAATAACAACTGTGTACTCCACAAACCCGCACCAAAGTTAACAAAAAGAGACTTCAACACAAAGGTAATTCAACACATGTAATCCATCATAGGAAAATACAAAAGTCCACAATATCCCAAAGGGAAAGAACAAAGTCCAGAATAGAAATTTCTCAAAGGGAAACAATGAAGTCTGGAATAGATATCAACACTTTCCCTAGGTATTGTTCAGCGTTTCAGACTTCTGATCCTTCCTCAGGAACAAAAAGCCACTACAGGAAGTCTCATTGCAATTTCTTAACAGGCAAACTTTATTCAGTTTCTATATGGGCCAGGTCTCCTAAGCTTTAGAAAGCACCTACCAAGGTTGCTATTATGTAAGTTGGACCAGACATGCTGTGTATTTTCCTATGATGGGTTACATGTGTTGAATTACCTTTGTGTTGGAAGTCTCTTTTTGTTAACTTTGGTGCGGGTTTGTGCAGTACACAGTTGTTATTTGCTGTTTTTGTTGGCCAGTCTGTCTGTAGCAGCAGGAAAGAGCGAGAGAACAGGAGCACCTTCAAGACTGACAAAACGGGTGGCCGGGGCGTTGTCAGCTAGCTGCCATAGAAGACTGTGTATCAGTAGTTCCCCCCCCCCCCCCCCCCCGGGGCACCCC